CAAGACCAGATATGGAGGAAGGAATTGTCAATCCAAGACCTGCTAAGCGACAACGCAACGCCAGTGTCGGTAGACAACAAACACCAGAAGAACCACAGTCCGGATTCTTGCCACCAACGGAATTTAATGAGATTCGCGCATTAGAAGGACAACGCAGATCTCCAGCCAACCGTCGAACGGACGAGGTAGAGCACCAACCACTTCAAGCTCTAAACAATTTCAAAATCCCGCAGCAACCTGAGGAAGTTCGACCAGCAACTGAAGTAGACCGTTCATATGGCGGTTGGAACCACTGGAATATTGCAGGTCAAAGGTGGTCAACTGACGCTGAGCCGACTGCCAACACTGATTCCATAGAGGCTACGCCAAAAAATCTTGTTCAAGCCAACGAGAACAATGCAAATCCGAATCAGGAAGATGCACGGGCTGAACAGGAAAGAAAAGATGTTGAGGCACATGCTCGTCAAGAACAGGAACTGGAACAGGAAATGGAAGCCGAACTCAGGCTCCTACTAGGGGTCGGGGAAGGAAAAGAAGTCGAAGCCTCCAGCGCTGTCCACTCTTCTGAGGAGAGTCAGCCAACGAAGGAGGCGCCAAAATTCAAGATGATTGGGAACTTTGCAATTCCTCTTGGAGGTATCACTCATGGCCAAGTGGAGATTTCCCAGCCTATGCCGGCGGAAGCAAGCCAGGAGGTCAACGTCACAGACGACACTATCACATCAGCCCCGGATAGCGACGATGAGCAAATGGAGGCATCATCCGACATCGAATATCTGTGCCCCAGCGACGTCGGGTACCTTTTCACCGACGACAAAGAAGTTGACGACGCGATCGACCAACTAGGAGGCCTCGAAAGTTTCACCGATTTCCTCAACGCATAAGAGAGGAAAGGAGCACAGAGCAGGAGTGAGATGATGGAAGCAGGAAATGGGGGAGAACGAGACGTCACAAGTGCCAAGACAAGTTAAAGACTCAGTGTTGGTTTAAACCACTTTGACACCCAAACACCGAGGTCAGGTTGCCAAAAGAATGATCTCCGACAAGAACGACTTTCGACAAGAACGACTTTCGACAAGAATGACTTTCGACAGAGAACGACTTTTGACAGAGAACGAATTTTGAAAGGGTGGGGTTCAGGCTTTCTGTTTTATTTTCTTCATGTACCTTATCGGTTTTTATAATTTTTTTCACGTGTTTGCAATCAGGACATGGATACTGGTGTTGATCAGGTGTTGGAGGTACGGCTCCGCCTTGGGTTTGAGAGCAGTTCCAGATTGGAGCACGATTGTACAATTGGGTGGAGAATGTATGTTTTGGGTTTGGTTTTGATGACATTTCAGGTCTGGAGGGGGATCATTTTGGGTCATATGTTGTTGAATAACACAACTTTCCAGTCTACTCGCATTGACTGACGTGATATTGACTGGTTTGCGTGATATGATGTTCTTATGTTCTGTGCACCCTCTTTGTGCTCGAGTGAAGTTGGCCAAAGCCTTTAGCATGCCATCCGGTGCGTTGTGATCTAGTGATCAAGCGAATGCAAGCCTACCCTCTTCTCGAGTCTGGTATCTTCTGAAGTATTGTACGAAGACCTGATGAAAATTCGACTTCTCACAGGCTGATAGCTTCAGGTGCTGGCTCTCGTATACCAGGGTGTGAGATTCAGAGTTTCCACCCAGGCCAGCAGAGCACGAGGGAAAGCTCGGCTGGAAAGAAGTCTTGTTGAGATGTCGGGTATAGGCCCTTTTAGCATTCACAGGGTACTTTTGGCTTTTTTACTCCCTGCTAGCAACTATCAACCGGATCCCCTCATTGGAAATGGAATTCACCGAAGTCATTCAAGCCAGCCCATAGCCCTATCACGTGGTTTCAGACCGAGTACTTGTTTTCCCCGCTTCTCATTTTGAGTTTCACCCTTGATACTCACAACCTAATCGATCAGATCCAATATTGCAGCTTTCTGTTGAGCCGCATCAGCCCGAGTATCACGCGCTGATCGGTGTCCCAAAGATGCAAGGCTCGGTTAGAAGCCAACTACCAATCTCATCATCCAGGTGAAGCCACAAGTTGAGAGCACGCCGAACTTGTGTGGCACACCCAGCGACTCAGAAGACGATGTGATTTGTAGTGCTGTCATTGGAGATTCTTCCCCGCCGATGGGCCGCATATACCGAGTATTACAGAGCAGCATCAGAAATCAGCACTTCCGTAAGGCTGAGTATGAAGTGAAGAGTTATGCTCACTCTACTCACGAAGACTTAAAGCTCTTGGTATTGTGAAGCAGACAACTGCCACATTGAAGCGACTGGCATTTGATCTGTTATCGGTAAGTATTCCTTTCCAAGTTGAGACAGCCATTTCACACTTCGGGCAGAGCCTCTGTGGCCACTTTAGCTGTATGTGCAAGGCAGACTTCTTGACATCCGTTTACAATGCTCTACCAATGAGAACGCAAGTACATCTTGAGTGAAAGCCTTCATGCAAGAAGTCATCAGCCGGGGCATGCAGGTTCGCCCATCCGAATCTGACTAGCCAGCAGCACATCTTTGACACTGCCCGACGTTGTGCAGACATCCATCTCGATTTCTTCACCTTGCATCAATTCATCCAGGCTCACAAACAGGCCTCTGATCATTTCGTAGCTTACGACTCTTGTACTATCCATGGAGATTACCGAGTCTCAATTTTCCACCGTGCTGCAAGAAGCACTGACTTGTTTTCTAGCTTTTCTTTCTCATACTCAAAAGCTACGTGAATCCGAACTACCCCGCCAAGGCAAAGGCATTGAGACAACAGCCGATGTCTCTATTCAGAGACTACATGAGTCTCGCGTAGCTGCTACTGAAAAATGCTTGCAATATACAATCAAAATCGCAAAAAGTGTCAGGAGATGGAACAGATCTGCTGCAAACGGTAGTGATGACGAAGTCACAGCCGAACCTGAAGTATTGAGCTTCCAAGCCTTGCTCCCAGATGACTATGAGACATCATTCCTAGACATGTTCTCGGGTGCTTGGATATCTCCAATGAATCAATTCTCAGCTGGACCTTCGGGCAGTGGAATTGAGGACCCTCTTCGACCGAAAAGTGAGCGACAAAGTACCCAGGTAAGCGTTCCCACACTTTCGCAGATTTCAGCTAACATATTACTACATTAGCCTGGACTGCGCTGTCGAAGAAGAAGGCAGGATAAAGATAGAGAACTTGATGCAGTCTACAAAGGAGGTTCTTCACGTCCAGCACGATCGTCCATCAGCATACATCAGAATATCTCAATTACCGCGAAAGTCTTCAAAAAGCACTACTCTTCCCCTCCGTCCAGCGTAACATCTAAAACGACGCCTAACACAAATAAATCCTCTTCCGTATCTTCCGTCTGCAATGATGATGACAAAACTGGTTCTAATATGGCAGCTAAGCTTACTGAACTCGAGCGGAAGAAGCTGAGAGAAAGACAAGACCAGATATACGCGGGAAAGATGCAGAAGCAAGAGAAGACACGAAAAGAGGAATCAGATCGACGGGGATACGAAGCCAAGCGATTATTAGATCAGTTGGCTCAGGAGGAGCAATACCGTCTTAGAGCGCAGGAGAAATATGCCAAGAAACTCGAGCAAGAGGAGAAGGAGAGGGCCAAGAAGATACGGAAGGACAGGGAAGCTGCTCTGAAAGCTCAACAACAATGGGAGATGGCAGCGATTGCACGTGAGACTGAAGCCATGAGACTGGAGGAGCGAGAGCGGAGAAAACAGGCAGAGCAGGAAAGACTTGCAGAAGAACATCGCAAATTGAAGATTCAGAGAGAGAAAGCCCGGGCGGCTGAAACCAAGGAACGAAACCGACTGATCAGCGAGGAAAAGAAGTTGAGGGAAGCTGAACATGTTGCTAAATGGCAGCGTGAGCAAAGAGAGAGGGAAAGGGAGAGAAATGCGAGGCTTCCTAAGAAAATGGACTGCATATCTTGTATGGAAACTGTGCGCGAGAAGGACACGGTCGCCCTGCCCTGCCATCACACATATTGTGGAGACTGCATCAAAGGTAAGCCTCTATCTTTCCTGTCTCTACCGGACTATAACTTACGATTTTAGGCGCTTTTAAATCGGCATATAAATCAAGAAGTCCTTTTCAATGCTGCGGCACTACTGTACCAACATCGAGCGTTTCGCGCACGCTTTCCAGCTCGTTTGTCACGAAATATAACCTTTTGATCCTCGAACTCAAGACTAAAAAACCAAAATACTGCTCCTCGTCTCGCTGCCACAAGTTTATACCACCAGCCGAGATTCGTGGCCCGATAGCTGTCTGTCTTTACTGCAAGACCAAGACGTGTGTTGCCTGCGGAAGTAAAGAACACTCGGGCGTTTGTGCCGAGGATGAAGCTGGGAAAGCTGTGGAAGCCCTCGCACAGAAGAAAGGTTGGAAGAAGTGTCCAAAATGCAGCCAGATAGTGGAGAAGACTGAAGGCTGTCTGCATATGACTTGTCGATGCAAAGCAGAGTTTTGTTATTCTTGCTTGAGGAATTGGAGTGATTGTCGTTCGACTTGTGGGCGGTGAGCCAATCCGATTTCCATGATGTCAAGGTGGTGTTAATGAGTCTGGTATGTTAGGACGACGGTATTTGATGACGTGGGCATGGGCGCAGGTATGGGAATGGGACAAGGTCAGCCAGGTAGAGCCGGGATAGATGGGGGAAGAATTGGCTTGGGGCCAGTCATTGCTGCTGCTGTATTGATGTCTCTTTTTGATGACTAGGGAAAGATGAGGATGGTTTAAGGGCCGGACGGATCAAAACAACCATTGATTCGGGCTGAAAATGAATTATCTTACTTGAATTTCATCGAGATCAAGGTTTTGGAAGTTTAGTGTGCTCGTGAGACGGGAAGTTTGCCAATTAGTCATTCACCATCAGGGCGTCACTGCTCGCTACCCATCCCGGTCCCACTTCGGTAACAGCAATATCTAAGGAGTAACCAAAGGTTGTTCATAATACAAAGAAAGCTTTGTGGTGCAATGGCAGCATGTACAATCTCTATCTAATATTTCCGGATCTGAGACAGTTGTGAGATACGGGTTCGATTCCCGTTAAAGTTCCTCGGCCCGGATGGCCATTCTTCACCTCAAGGTTCGAAGAATGGCTTGTCCGGGCCAAATATATTGCTTTTATTACCTGAAATTATTAGTCCTGGGGTTGGTAAACCTTTGCCACTGCGCTCAGCGATTTAACCTTTTGCCGACGGAAAATGTATCGCTCCCGCCTTTGTTTACTTTGGACCACAGGGTCTTCCCCGCGTAGGTTAACCGAGAACTCGGGAAATTTTTGACTCGAGAGCTTGCATGACACGGTGGGGGCAAAGGCTTTCTCGATTGTAATGTGCCCCTCGGGAGATGATTCCTGCATAGGGGCTTTTATTGCGCGATCTTGAATGTGATACAGCATATATGTGATCATTAAAATTGAGGTTTGTTTTACTTGGTATCCATAGGATTGCGAGCACACTATCCTACGGTGTGCCGCTACTTTATTCATACAGCCGAAATTTGCCTTCATTCATCATCTCCGCCCTCAGCTTCAGATCCTCCATTTACCTCTTCTTCCACATCTTCTTCAATGACATCGAGGTCTTCGTCCACATAGCCATCTTCCTCCTCTACGGCGCCTACGATTTCATCGCCGGCCTCGATCGCCGGAAGTGGAGCCCCTGCGGGCAGACCTCTTTGTGTTCTGAGTTCCTCGACCTTTGTATTTGTCATATCAAATACCCACTGCCCCAAGTGCTCGACGCCTGACATCTCAGTTTGGCCAGGGACATCTGACCCTTCCTCATCCTTCAGAATTCTCTGACTAGGCCATAATTCTCCAGCAACGAGTTGCAGCTTATCAGATCGTTTTAGCAAGATATCGAAGGCTGGCTTGAGCTCAGTGCAAGATTCGAAGACCTCACGTCGCCCAAGGATATACAGTCCCAAACGAGCTCGAGAAAGAGCTACAGTGAGACGTCGCACATCCCGCAAGTAGCCGACACGAGATGTGCGGGTGAGGGAAAGGATGACATCTAAATAGAATTAGTTTCTTTCCAGAATGAAAATTTGGAGTACATACAGTCATTCTGCTCTCCCTGGTATTTATCGACAGTCGTGACTATCTTTGGGAGGCCAAACAGCGGATTCTTGGAACATCTATGAGCGAGCACATCGGCAATCAGCGCGCGCTGACCGGCGTACGTAGCAAGAATACTGATTCTCGAGGCCGGGTAACCTAGAAGCCGCATGAATTGGTAAACAGCGACAGCATATTCGGCTTCTCCCAGGTTCTGGATGAAATGTGGGGTTGGTTCTGACTCTCCTTTACCCTTGTAATCAGGTACTTGAATGAATTGGTAGTCGTACTTGAATCCGGCGTTTGCGAGTTGGAACTCTGGAGTTGTTGATGTCAGGGGTAGATTGTCGAGGTTTTGGTATCGCCACGAGTACAGTGATGCTATCGAAGGTCGGGCTCGGCCTTGTTGGTCAAGGTTGATTGTTGGAACGCCAAGTCGGACGAGACGAGAGAACAGTGACTGTTCTAAGTTTGCATACTGTCTGAACGCAAGATTTTGGATGATGGGTGAATTTTGGAAGTGATCTCCACACAGAACAACTCTTTGTAGAGGCATCTGCCCGTCTTTGGGTTTCTGTAGTGCCAGGGGAAGGAAGTTCTCAATCTCGGTTATTTGCGCAGCTTCTTCCATTATCACATTGTCGTAGTGGAATCCAAGGCTTGCTATCTCCCGCCTCCTCATTGCTGCATGAGTCGAAGTCATGGCAATTATTCTCGCTTCGTTGGTGAGAAGGTAGTTGGCCTTATCACGATCCCTCCTCAGAATTTCGAAGGGACGAAGATCGGCAAGCTCATCGAATATTTTCTTTACATGGTGGAAACAGCCGTTGGCGATATCTATGACTGCGTCCTTGTCCGCATCTGCTGGGAATAAAGGCTGAGGCGCGTTGGAAAAATAGTAGTGGAATGGAAATGCTTCGACAACCGTCTTCGCTGTAGCATCTGGTGACTTGGAGGCCTCCTCGAACCGTGTCCATGCAGGTTCGACATAGACGGAGTTGAAATATAATGCTGTCTCAGCTGATGACCCGTGTGCCCCAGGTGCTCCGAAGTTAGCTGCTAGTCGATCAACCTCCTGAAGAAATCCATCTCGATTGTCAAAGAATGATTCAACTCTTCCGTGTTTGCTGAAGTTGGCCTGGGTGTCAAGTTCTTCCTCGCCATGGCCCAGACGAAGTAAGTGTCGCTCATCGATGTCCAGAGCCACTATCTTTTGGAAGAGTTGATTTAGTGCTTGGTTACTGTGTGCAATCAACAACGTCCGCTGATCAGGGAAGTTATGATAGATGTTATTGATTATCTGAGTCGCAACATCAGTCTTTCCGGTTCCAGGTGGGCCAACGATGACCGTCAGTCCTGGCTGCGTTCCCGAGACGATAGCCTCCACCTGAGTAGGTGTGAAACGAACCTGATTGAGTTTTGGCGCATCAGTGGGGTATGGCCCTGTATTCGGCGGCTTGTACGTAGAAACTTCAACGGATTGCGGTTGAAGTTGTGGCTCGGGTTCAGCGTCGCGGCGACGCTTCTTGGATGTTTTTGCTGGAGCTGGCGCTTCAGCCTTCGGAGCCATCTGCAAGACATATGGAGGTCCGAAGCTGCCATTCACGTCATCGCTGGGTTCTATAGTCTTTCCAGGTAGACTTTCAATCAGGTGTTGCCAGTCCAAGAACGTATCTCGGTAATCCACCTTTTTGAGTTGATTTGCAAGGTGGGTGTATGTGGCTCCAGCTGGATCTCCATAGCCAAGGAACACTTCGTGCAGCCAGGAGGCAAGAGGCACATCAGAAAGTGTTAGACTTTGGATTGACTCCAAGATTGGCTTAAAGTTATTTTCGCGTCCTCTTCTGCGAACAATGACATTCATGCTCTCGTAAATGTCCGGCTTTCCTTTCGCAACCCTCTCTAAGTCTGCTTTGTACATAGTCGCGTCGAGTTTCACCTGCAGTCTCCGGAGTCGGGGTCGACCGTAACCATTTTGGTTGCTTTGCTCTCGTAAAGAACGCCCCTTGTCATCGAGCACCTGCGTAACCTCAGCAGCTCTGACGTACTTTAAGCCAAGTTTTTGGGCGTCCGAAGGTATTTCGCCTCCGTTCATGATCATTTTGGATCCATCGGAAGCTTGAACCGCCAATAAGAAAATGACATCGTCGGGCCGAAGGGATTCCCATTCTCGTCTCACATTGTCTGCGAGACGACTGACATCCAAAGAGATCTCGGCTTTCACCGCTGATGGTTTATCGTCACCAACTAGTGGTGGCACAACCTCGAGTACACTGTGGACGATAGTCAGCAGGGGCATTCCGAGGCGGATCCTTGATTGACTGCATTTTCCAACGAAGCCTTATTTATCTAGAAGACAGAAGGTGCGAAACTTACGAAGGCCTCGTGATTGGCAAAGCCATTCTTGAGAATCCGTCAAAGGTAGTCTGACCGGCTCTGTTCAAGGACGGACGAAGTCTTCCGATGACTTCTTCGATGTTTTTCCTTATCTCGTAAAAAGATTCGCTACGATGCAAGATGAACGATCTCCACAAGAAGTCACCGACCGTCAAATACTGGAGATTCAGTTTTGGAATCGCTACAGGTTGTGAGCCATTGTAGCTATCGTTTCTCAAGAGAGCTGGTTCGAACAAAGTAATCTCTGTCGGCAAGATGCTGAGATCGCGCGCAGTCTCCTGGAAGGTCTTCCGCTTCTCATGGCCAGCCAGCAGAACTTCCGTCAGAAACTTCCTGTCGGTCACAAGTTTGGCCGTTGAGGGATAGGAGGTGCGAAAGTCAAGCAGATCGCAAAGCTTTATAATCTCCTCCTCAGTAAGAGGCTCGAGATGGCCCTCAAGCTCTGACCGCTTATCGATAGATCCATAGTTGGACAATGCCAGAATGGTTAACTTCTCCTTGAAATTTTTCAAAGCGGTCCGCTGCAACGTGGCAAGCACAGAACAATGCCGTTCGTAAGCTTCGGTTCGGCTATGCTGTATGCCGGTATGGTCATCGATAGAAAAGTAGGTATAGTGTTTTAGAAGTCCATATAAATCTCTTAAAAGACCGTTGTCTTCTTCGTTGAACGTAGGAGACATTTTGATAGCTGTGAGGGCGTTCAGATCTTTGAGGAGCGTGTTTACATAGCGCCGAGTCGGAAGTTGGCTTTGGAGATCTGACAAGAACTCAACGAAGCGTTCGCAATACCGTACATTTTCTGAGAATTAATTAGCTGGGTAGCGTAAATTTTCCATGGAATCTCTCACCGGCTTTAGCCTTCTCGTTGTAGAGCTGATTGAAGAAGTCTAACACAAGAGTAAACAGCCAGGACCGCTCAAATCGTAGTCTCGCCTTGGCTGTATTATCTGCCGCATCATAGCGCTTCGCTGCCGCTCTCCAGGCTTTCTTGAGCTGAACAGTCTGGTTCAATATTCTATCCCGCTTTGCTTCACTGGAGATGTTGTGCCATATCGATATGGATACTAGCGGAGCGCATTCCTTCCTTACAATTCCGCTATCCAGTGACTGGAAAGAGCTGATAATGAAGGACAGGAGATGAGTTCGAATCGTCGGTGAGAGTGTCGTATCCAACGTCATGGACAAGATTCGGCGAAAAAGAGTCGAGAATTCTGTAGGATTGCCTGTGAATATGTCTATGATCGGTCAGCATTTCTCTTAGGTTGATGCATTGGTGCTGTACCCCAAGTTGGCAGATGTTCCCTCGTTCGAACATTGGCGATCAGGACTATCAGAATAACATGAAAGTTGGAGGAGTCTTCGGAATAACCTGGCCATAGGTAACTACTTGAATTAGCCAGAGACGAATGTCGCCTAGAAGTACGGCATACCTCTCGAGAATCTGCAAGTTCTCTAGAACAAGAAGTGACTTGAAAGAAAAGTCACCCTTCTCTAAAACATCCCATATTTCGTTCTTCAAGACATCGGGCTTGACCTTGACCTTCGTAGCCTTCTTCTTCGACGGCTTCAGCCAATGCGCCTGAGCAAGTTCCGCGAA